TACTTACGTTTTCCTGTTTCTATTACTCCTTCCTACGTCAGACTCGCTTCACGGAGTAGCTCTACCTACCTGATAAAAAAAAAAAAAAAAAAAAAGGTACTATACTCTTCCTCCTCCAACATGCTAGTGCCGACCGACCAAAAATGTAGACACTGAAGACTGGTTAATAGTTTTTTACTTAAAACTCGTACTGTAGAGAATAAAATGTTTTATTCAGTTCACTCTATTGCTACATCTTTATGTGACGTGTGGATTTACAGTAAGGAGCATACCCAGAATTTCTGGGCTTGCAGTGTAGTTCTTTCTGGTTATCACTCGTTTAAAACACATCATGATTATGTTTTACAGTAGCGGGTAATTTTAGGACCTCGCAAAGGATGTTGGGAATTGAGTGACTACGTAGTACTTACATAGCTGAAAGAAGCATTTATATCCAGTTAGGTAGGACTACTCTCCTCTTAAAGTTCTAACACACCAGCAGTTGCCCAATCTTCGCAAAAATGCCTTCCGATGGAGGTGACCGCTATATTATTTCCTTCATGAAGGATTTCATTGCAGGGGGAATTTCAGCCGCAATATCAAAAACAACAGTAGCACCCATAGAGAGAGTGAAGTTGTTACTACAGGTTCAACATGCTTCAAAACAAATTACAGTCGAAAATCAATACAAAGGTAGGCGTTGAAAAATTGAAGTTATATAATTTAATATATAAAATTCCATTAATGTTAATTCCGATAACCCACAACTAGGGGAACGTGTCTCGATTGTCTGTAGATCTAGTTTAGAGTTTATCTGTGAAGTATAGAACTGTGCATTTCACCATGTTCAAGTAAAAATGGTAAAATATACTAGCACATATATATACGTATATAAGAATTGACTTATTCATTGAAGTAAATATAACACTTAGACCGTTTGATTTCATGTTTTATGTGCTTATAATACTGAATACGTTAAACAAATATTAAGGGTTAACTTACGTTTTGGCCACTGCTTATAATACTGAATACGTTAAACAAATATTAAGGGTTAACTTACGTTTTGGCCACTTTAAAAACTTTCAATCAAAAAGAAAACGTACAATTAAATTATAAAACTACCAACAGATTTTTGGAATTTGTTTCAGACTTATTATATTTTTTCAACCGTTACTGAAAACGTTTTATCAATGTGTGATTCTCAAAACGTTATGCTTTATTTCCTTTATTTTTTTACTTCTGTTTGCATTAGAAGTAATTAAATGTTGACAAAATTTGTTAATATTTCTACACATCGGAGTGATAACTGTACAATGGGAATGAAAGAAATGACATATATGACGAGATTTCAATCACTTGTGATCAAAAAAGTTCGAATAAAGGAGCTGGAGAAACAAAGTGATCAAAGAAAAATTTGAACAAAGGGGCTCCTGAAAATAAGTAATAAAAAAGTTCGAATAAAAAGGCTAGAAAAATTTGAAGGTAGGGGTTCAAGAAAATAAGTGATAAAAAAAATTCCGAATATAGGGGCTGGAAAAACAAAAGTCATCAAAAAGTTCAAACAGGGGGTTCGACAAAATAAGTGATTTAAGAAAAGTTATAAAAAAAAAAGGCTGGGAAAAACAAACGGTCAAAGAAAAATTCAAATAAAAAGGCTCTGAAAATCATATTTCATTGTAATATATCAGTTACATTTACAGTTAAAGATAGAAAAAAAACACTAATAGGTGCTTTATTTATTGATACATTCAACAACATTCATAGCAAGTGAATTATGAGTAAACCAGTTATAGGAAACAAAAATACATGAAAGTCTCTTAGTTTAGTTTATTTAATATTGATGAAGATTCCGAAAAATCATGAAATGTGCTATTTAGATCAAACGATTTATTGTCTCGTGTGTTTAAAGAACTATAATAAGTGAATATTAATATTACTGTATCTTCGGCTTACACTTAATGAACAGCTTTCAGTTGACGTTAAAATATCAAAACGAATTTAGTCTGTATTTCCTATCCTTCTCAATTAATTGTAATTCGATAGTGTTAACGTTCACGTATGAATTAGCAATACATTCATCCACTAAATTATTGTTGACTTGTATTGATAATACTTTAAATGAATATAGTATGGTTTGCTGTGTTTTCTTCCCCACTTGTAGGCATGATCGACTGTTTCGTTCGTATTCCAAAAGAACAAGGATTTCTAAGTTTTTGGCGTGGAAATTTAGCGAACGTCATCAGATATTTTCCCACACAAGCTCTCAACTTTGCTTTTAAAGACAAGTATAAGCAGATTTTTCTGGGTGGAGTTGACAAGAAGACCCAGTTCTGGCGTTATTTTTTGGGTAATCTAGCCAGTGGTGGAGCAGCTGGGGCAACCTCTCTCTGCTTTGTCTATCCTCTTGACTTCGCCCGAACCAGGTTAGCTGCTGACATTGGAAAAGCTTCAACAGACCGGGAGTTCAAAGGCTTGGGTAACTGCTTGGTAAAGATCTTTAAACATGATGGTTTAATTGGACTGTACAGAGGATTCAATGTTTCTGTCCAGGGCATCATTATTTATCGTGCAGCATATTTTGGCTTCTTCGACACAGCAAAGGGCATGTTGCCAGATCCCAAGAACACACCTATCGTTATCTCTTGGATGATTGCACAGACAGTGACCACAGTTGCAGGTATTATGTCGTATCCTTTCGATACTGTCAGACGACGTATGATGATGCAAAGTGGACGAGCCAAAGATCAGAGAATGTATAAGAACACCATCGACTGTTGGATTAAGATTGGTAAAACAGAAGGTGGAGCAGCCTTCTTCAAGGGTGCATTCTCTAATGTCCTGAGAGGCACAGGTGGTGCTTTGGTGTTGGTTCTTTATGATGAAGTGAAAAATTTTATCTTCTGACATAATTAAATTAGTAGTCGACCAATTATCATTCTAGAACATTCTGTTCTATTTGTTTTCTGTGAACAGATAGTAGGGACCTCGAAAGGACCATTTTCAATCGTCAGAAATTGATAAAAAAAAAAAGACGTAGATGGCATTTTGACTGGTGTGTGTGCGGTATATCATCTTTGGGAAATTATCCTAGGTTGGTCCACTTTTAGTAAAGTTTAATATAAATCAAACAAGTTAGATCGTTCTTAAGATTTCTGCCACCATCATCGTCCAAGAACATTTTGTTAATCAGGAGATAATCTTGTTTAAAGTTACACTTTCAACTCAATAAATTCTCTGGGCTACAATGTTGTGTAGATTTCTGTCTAGTCGTGTCCATTCGGATTTGTCATTCATAATACTACTACTCATTCAATGTTCCAGCTTCTTATAACAGTTTTCAAATGTTGTTTTGGAGCACATTCCTTAACAGTAACTAATATTTCTCAACATTATGATTTTGTTATATATATGCACAAAAAATGTTGTGTTAAGATATTTTAAATTGTTTTACTGGTTCACCTGTAGTAGTTAACAAATTTAATTGAAAATACTTAAAAAAACAGATTGCAAAGTTTAGAATTCCAACTGAAAAGAAGTATAAAAAATTTAACTCAATATATATATACATCCGTTAAAAGCTTACTTTTTTAGGTTTACCCCAGTTTACGAGAAAAAAATACCGATTTAACTATGGCCCTATGTATGTGTTTCTGTAAAGCTACAAAATAATAATAATTAAAAACCTAGTTTAAAAACTAAACACTGATAACACAGTTTCACAGCAAAATTAAAAGCTTTTTGAGAAACACGTAAAGTTTATTTCTCAGTTCTAACCGGGAATGATATTTTCTGAGATTTACATTATTTCTCCTGTAAAGAACTTATGACCTATTACAAATATGGCACTTTGCCAGTCCAGATATAAACGTTTAAAACTAGGTCTACCCGAGCCTAGCAACAGCAGCGAAAAATAGAACGAATCCTAATTTCTGCTCTCAGTGGTTGCCAAGTGTACACCACTCCTCCACCAAAGTCGATGACGTCATAGGAATAGACGGAAATGCGTACTAACTAAGACATATTATGCGTTTCTTGCTCGATTTGACGTAATGTGTTACGTTTTCATAGTTATGCGGATCTTACAAAGAAATAGTTTCCATGAAATAGTGATAATTCAACGCTGCTCTTCAAACCGAAAAGATAATTAAACGGCAAACGTGATTAATATATAAATATCTCAATTAATGCAATGAATCATTCTTAAAGCTAACAAAATCACGCGAAGATGTAAAAACCGACTCGTCTTCGTTTCGATGTCTAGGAATATGAACTATACATATATAGTCTGAACTTAAGCACGACCTTTCTTGTTCGTCAAACCATCAACAATTTCTTTGTTGCTTCTAATAAAATGTTAAATAATATAACTTGTTACTTTCAATTATAAGTTTTTAAGTACTCTATTAAGGCTTGATCTACACCTTCAGAACCAGTGTGAAACTCAGAAGTACGGTGTTTAATAATAAAGCAGTAATCACACTGGGTTCCTTTCAAACAGCCTCAGTTCAGATCGATTGCTTTGATTACAAACGCGCTGAGTTCGTTTTCACGGTTCGATTCATTGTTTGTTCGCATTAGTTCTTCAAACCAAACACCATCTCTTCTGTTAGCCTTACTTCAGTAATGTTTCTTATTCACACTGTTCTCTAAACAGAGAAAAGCCCCAATGTGAATAAGCCCTTAGACTAACTTGCATGCTGTTTTTCCAGCTCTTTTGGACTAATCGGAAGTTATTTTAACAGACAAGTGTCTGGACTTTTTTTTTTTTTAGTCACAATTATTTGAGTGAAGTTGAAATTGCATGCCAAGGTTTTTATAATTTTATCTTCACGATATTTTTCAACAAAGCAAACTTAACATAATATAATACAATGAACACAGGGTTAATGCTACCATTTTTAACATTATACGCAAGAGATTCCCACTGTCCCTATCTACTATCTAGCGAAACCACAGCCAAGGGAACGGGCTTGGAAAAATTGGGTTTTATAAGCCGGGTTTTATGCTTTATTGGCTTTGATATTTTACCACACGGAAAGTTCCTGCGATACAGAAAATGAGTGTTTTTATGAAAGATCAATTTTTAATCGTGTATAGACGAAGAGGGGATCAAATGAAGACTCGTACAACCCACGAAAAAAACTACGTTCAACTATCTAACTGATTGAGTGATACAGTCGGGATAATTTCCTTTATTTCAAAATAAATTTTAAAACGATGAGAACATCCAAATCAAAATTAGCACAATTTTCGAGACGTAAT